GAAGCCTCCATGAAACACAACTCGAAGATTTTGGGTTCTTATTTTGATCTCTTGTGGTTATTTGATCTCTTGTGATTTATGGGAATTTCATACCTGATCTGAATCCTCCATGAAACAAAACCTCAAGATTTTGGGTTCTTATTTTGATCTCTTGTAATTTATAGGATTTTCATTGCTGACCTGAATCCTCCATGAAACAAAACCAGGAGACTTTGGCTTCTTATTTTTCTCTTGTAATTTATGGGATTTTTGTACCTGACCTGAAGTCTCCCTGTGAAACAAAACCAGGAGATTTTGGGTTCTTATTTTTCTCTCTTGTGATTTATGGGATCTCCATACCTGATCTGAATCCTCCATGAAAACAAAACCCCAAGATTTTTGGTGGTTATTTTTTCTCTCTTGTAATTTATGGCATTTCCATACCTGAAGTCTCCATGAACAAAATCAGGAGATTTTGGGTGTTTTGTTTACCTGAGAAATGCATGCAAAAAAATGCAATATTTTTATAGGATCTATGTGAAAATCCTGCGTTTACCAACACTGAATTTTGGGGTTTTTCCCTCTCTGTTTAGTTTCAATATTGATATTGCATAAAATCATGGATTTTACACTCTGAGCCAGGGTAATTAAATATTTCCCCCTCTTGGGGACTGATTTTCCTTCTTTCTAAGATGTTGTGGAAATTTTTTCACCTCGTGTCCTGTTTAAAATTCCCTGGTTTTTTGCATGATTCAGTTTTGTTTGCATTATTTTCCACTGGCAGTTCCTTGGCAGTTCCAGCTCATTCCAGTGTCTTTGTTGCATTGAAATTTATTAGTAATTAGCCCAAATTCCTACTGTTTTTATTTTTTTTTTCCTGAGATCAATTATTTGAATAATTGGAGTGAGGGATCCATGACCACCAGGTTTGGAATCTTTACACTCCAAGAATCAGCTCCAGATCATTTGGAGTTGATACTTGGTAAGGACAAAACAACATTGCAAAGTTGAAAAAAAAATTAAAAATGAAATAAAAAATAAAATAAATTACATTATATAATGGCTATAATAATAATATAATGTTTTTTTTTCCTCTCAGGGTGTGAGATTCCCAAAACATTTGCTCTCCTTGATGAGTTTGTTGTGCAGGAAAGATTGGAAAGAGCAGCAAAAAAAAAAAAAAAATACAAATTCAGCAAAGTCTCATCTTGGGATATCCTGAGGTAGAAATAAAGAAATGGGGTCACATGGAAACCTGATTCTGTTCTCAGGAACTCTGCACCCTCCAGGGGCTCTTGGAACTGAATTATGCTGTAATGTCCATAAATATAATAATAATAATAATAATAAATCTATAAATAACCCATAGGATTATCCTGCAGCCTATGGCTTCTAACCCAAAATCTATGGCAAAGACAATTATTAGCTATTAATTATTAGTTCTGCAGTTCTTGGAACTGCTATAAATTCACTAGAAAATACATTTTATGTGAAATAATGTAATTATTCTATTCTATTATACTTTAGAATGCCTGAATGGGATATTTTGAGGACAGTGCACATTTTTCAGCTCCCTTGATCAATGATAACTTTGATATAGGAACATGAATGTGTTCCAGGTTAAAATCATTATTTCAGCAGGTTTTAGGGAATAGTTTGAATTTAATTTCCTGGCAAAGGAAATTAATTAGTTATTGTGGGTTTAAGTGATCCCAAACCTGGCAAAACTTGGAGGATCCCAGAATGGTTTGGGTTGGAAGGGACCTTAAAACTCCTCCAGTTCCATGGAAGTTCCTTAATTGAATTCCCAGCTTTTTGCTACAGGTCCCTCATGACCAGGATTCCAATGGAGCTGGAATTCTTTTCTCCTGGAATTTTGGATGAGCCTGAGTGTGATATTTACTGGCTTTAATGGATGATTTGAAATGTCTGCATGTCGAGTAGTGTTTTACTGCAAATCCTTGGCTGTAGTGGGGAAAAATTCCAAAGCTTCTCTCATAGAGAAAAGGAAATTTCAGGAATAAAATCAGATTTTTATAATGAACCAAAGGAATGAAGGTGCTGCACTGGAGATGGTGTGAAAAGCAAAGACTCTGGGGTATAAAATGGAGTAAAACATAATTACCTGGTAATGATCCCAAATTAATGCAGCTTTCTGGTTTGTGTTGTGAGCATTGGAATGTTGGATGTGCAGAAAGCTGCTGCTGCCTTTGATTTGGGCTGTTTAATGGTTTAAAATTCTGCAGGCACTCAGGGCTGTGTGGGAGACTGAGCTGTGGCCATAGGTCTGAATTTCCCTAAAACAGCACAAGAAATATCAGTGGGAGTCTTATTTTTGTATAATTTGATACGAATAACATAATTAAAAATATGTGGTTATTTTACAGGATTATACAAACACGAGAAGTTTTATGCTCAAATTTATAGACATTATATACATTATAACCTAATGTATGCAAAATACAGAATTATTAGGTACAATCCTAGAACTAGAATCCTGCAATAGAATTTATTGCATTGTACATAGAACATAACACAGGCCAGGCTACACGATATCATTGTATAAGATCTTTAATAGAATCCATTGCTTAAATAAAAGATAAAAAGCTGCCAAATGCTGGCTGATGGATGCCCAGCAGCCTGGGGCTGCCATGAGGTTTTCATTGCAAGTGACAGGTGCCCCAAGGTTTATTTAGGACAAGCTCAGCCTTGTCCTGCTTAGTTTGATCAGGTTTTCCTTATGGATGTTCCAGCCCTGCATTTCCTGTGTTGGGGCCTTGTGTTACACCAATATTCCTGTCTGGGTTGCCTCAAGTACAAATTGGCTGAACAGCCCGTGACACTTTTTCAATATTATTGCATTAAACCAAGTGGATTTTGATTGATAACCTAATATTCGACTAATGCAAAGCATCAATCATGGCGAGTATATTAATTATTTAATATTGCAGCCTAATTCAGGAATCGATGTGCTGCAGGAGGGGAAGGGAAACTCGCTGTTCCCAGAAGGTTTGAGCCAGGGCATGATTAAAAAAATCAGCCCCACCAAACCCTGCTCTGCTCCCCTTGTGTCGGTTCGATACAAATCTTTATTCATTTGCCAATAATCTCCTCGCATTTTCCACTTCGGGATCTTTTTTATCAGTTTTGAGGCTTGTAATTGAATTAAGGCTGCTTTCAGCACAGGCTGAGCCGAGGTGCACAAATATTGATGGCAGGGACAGGGAGCTCCTCCTGCATCCTCCTCACAGAGAAATCCAACCTTGAAAAGGCAGGGAGCATCTCCACAAGGGATCCTGGAATGCCTGGGCTTGGAAAGGAGATTAAATCCCACCCATCCC